TAAGGTGGTCGTGTTTCCACGTTGTACCCGATGATGGGTGCATGGTCTCGGTCTGCTGTCCACTGGGGAGTAAAAGTGGGAGGAGGTTTGAAGATGTGATCATCAAAGGGAAGCCCTGGTTCAGTCATGTTTGGCCTCAGTGGAAACCACACATTCAAGCAGATTCATCCCTGCCCCTGACATGTGTCATATTAGCCTTACCAGATTTGTAAAATGAAGATAGAAACAGTGTGTCTGTCATGTACAATATGTTCTTTTTCTTTTGATTTTACAGCACAGCAGCTTGGCAGATACAACACATGAACCATGTATATCAAAGTCCTTCTGGACACTGTATAGGTTGGCTGGCAGGGGTAGCTGTGCGTGTTTTTGTATAGTAATTTAGCTTCTAGGCGATGCAAAAGAAGCCTGTGCTGCTCACTGCATTGTGTGTCAAAGAGGTCACCTCACTCTACACTGCGGTATAAACTCCAGGGTCCGATGTGAACTGGAAACGGGGTGGAGAACGCGACCCCTTCATAAGTGAGAGTTGTGGTAAAAGCTGCTGTATCCATAAAAGGTTTAATTGTTGTTAATCTTCAGCCCAAACCAAAAAATAAAGGCCCCTCTGGGTAGACAAACACGCGCCACCACTGCTACAGTGACACGGTCATAAGACACTCGCGCACCCCTCCACGTCGTCACTTTGTTGAAATCTTAGCGTTAGCTACAGTAGGTAGCTAATGGAGGCGAATGGTTGGTCTTAAGTGAGCAAAAACACAGTTATGTACTGGTCTCTGTTTTCGCTTGGGGGTGGAAAGCTGGGCAGGAGGTTCGAGACAAGGAAAGACGGACAAAGAGACATATTCATTGAGATAATACTGAAAATTTAGTAGACAAACTTATATAACATAGATCTACCTTGAAATATACTATCATATATATTTAGATATTCTATCTTTTTTTTTTAATGAAATAAATATATCCATAGATACTCTTCTTTTTTCAAAACAGACCGACTTTACAATTGCAGAGACGCAACAACACAATGGATAGACGTGAGGAAAAAGAGGCTCTGCGCTCACACCGCTAGCAGCTGCTGGTGCTCGACTGGTGCTACGCGCGCTAACTGGCTAGCTAGCAAGCGTTTTTTAAATGGCAAACTTCATCTAATCTGTGTGTCTCAGAGGTTGTTGGTTCTACGAGCAACACACTTGAAGTGCTGGCGGTGTGATCGCACAGAAACGTCTAATCAACGCTGTTACGGCTTTCATTGAAAGTTGTATAAGCTGTTGATTGACAATTGTGATAAGCAACGCAATGAAATGCTTAAAGTTGTTTAAGAAAGTTGTCTAGAATTTGCCTGTTGATTGAATATGAGGGAATATGTGTTTTGACACGTAACTGTCATATCCAATGGTCATGTGATGAGAAACATCATCTCCAAAATATTATGATGAGAAACGACAATTTTCTGTAACACTACCCACCGCCACACACACACACGCACATATCTATATATATATATTTGATTAATACATATATAGATTTTTTTCTGAAAGAAAGGCAGACTTTGTACAACACGTTTACGTTTAAAACTCAATTTCTCTTTTAGTTTTTCTCAGCTGAAGTAAATCGTGGCTCAGATGCAGATTCAGGCAAACAAGAGCTGACGAGACCCATGTGTGGATGGAGGCGTGGCGACTCATCACTAAGCCCCACTGATGGGTCCTGATGATCATCTCCATGTTGATGGATGTAAGTAGCTCTAGCTAAGTGCTCGACATCGGACTGTAACTGCTGGTGTCAGCTCGGTTATGGATTAAAAAGCTATAGCTCTTGATTGAACATTTACAAGGTGAGAAATACCCCCAAAAAATAGAAATCTCACAGGAGGCGCAACCTTGTCTACCAGGCACCATCTCTTACATCCTCCTTCAGAACGTCGCTCATCTGCTAGCTGGCCTCCAACATTAGCATAGTCTCTTTGACATCAAAACGGTACTGGCACCAGATTGAATTCTTCACCGATCCAATTCCGCCCTGTCCGGTTATACTGTCTTGAGGGTAAACCCAAGACATGTTGGGTAAAGTAAATAACTTCATATTCATACTTTATACAAAAGGTATGGCAGGAAAAAAATCTGTGAAGGTCTAAAAATATGTATTTCCCTGCAATCTTTCGCCTTCTCTCACCAGAACTGTGTAGCACCACCATGTTAGAGACACATCCTCTACTCACACCTGGGTTGCTTGGTTTCTCCGATGTGATCTAGTCCTGGCACTAATTGGACGACTTGCATGAGGAAACCAACAAAACTCAAAACTGTAACCAATTCCAGATCTAATTCGTCACCAACCCAATTAGACGATATAAATGCTAAATTAGCATACCGTTATGTGAAATGAACCAGAGTGATTTCATTGTCCATCTCTCAAACAGACACAAGCACAAACCATCAAAAGTGCTACAAATTCCACACTCAAAGTGTCTGAGTTGTTGTTGCAGCGCACTTGATTGTGGCTGACTTTACATTCGATCAAATACAGGGAAAAGAAAATGAATAGCTTAGCTTTCCATTGACGCAGTTAGGTAGTTGAGAGAAGGTTTCGTGTGCAGCTTGAGTAGTATGGCACAGTGTTTACATTGTATTAGACGTAATACATGTCTTGATATATAGTACACAATTAATACCAACAACAACTACAACACAGAAGTAAAAAGAAAGGTTTTTGCATGAACAGAGGGTGAATAATGTTTTGCTCAAAAAAGAGAAGATGTATTGGATAGTGTGGATGCCCTTTCATGTCCGTGTGTGTGTTTGTGTATGTGCGTATTTGAATGTGCACATATTTGAGAGATGATGGAATACTCTGCAAGATAAAAGTAAAGACAGCAGCTAAGGTTGTACAGATTGATTTGAGCTCTACTTAAGTTTGGCACTCAGCTTTTCATTAAGCCAGTAGAATATCAGTCACAGTCGACTTACCCTGTTGTCAAGAATACAAACACAGAAAAGCACAGACACAAACCAACCACATCGAGGAGAGGAGCAGAGAGGGCAGGACAGCAGAAGAGAAGACAAGAGAGACAAAGACACAGCCACTTAAATTAGGTTACGAAGGAGGTAAAGAAGATCGAGAACGAGAAAGAGAACGTAAATAAGGGGGCAAGGGAGCGAAAGAAGTGGAGTAGAAAAAAAGAGAAGACAACAGGAGAGGGTGCATGGATCACACAGGAGACAAGGTACTCATCAGCCTCCTCTCCCTGTCAACATGATGGTTTTCATCATACACAAAAAAGGGGCCTTGGGTGGGCGTCACAGTTCTGCGGGGATGTAAACAGTTTGTTAAGGAAAAATGACAATAGGGGAAAGCCATTTCTTAAGGGAAAAATATAAGAACACTGTTCTGCGATAAAGGCTTCTGAGAGCAGCAGGCATACAGTACTACAAAGTTCCTGAGCCCTCAGTGAGCAAGTACTGCTCGGCTTCAACCTCCAAAGCCCTTTACGTTCGGAGCAAAGGAGTCCTCTTCAGTTGTCCCACTCTTGCAGTCTGCTTTTAGTGTAATGGATAATAACCCTGTTCGGGATGCAAGTTGCTGCTGTGGTTTGTAGTCATTCACATACTGAGAGGGATGAAAGGAAATAACAGCAAGCACACCATTGCTTCTGTTTCCCTTTGACCTAGCCCATAGGGTTTGTTTGGCTTTATGGTTTGTTTGTTTGTGCAGAACTTTAGGAAAAGGCTCAGTGCGTTTACTCTACTGACTCAGCCCTGCAGAGCGTCCTTATGACTTTTGATACCTTCAGACCTCGCTCTCCACGCTGGAGAAATGGGCCGAACCCCTTCTTGAGCAAAGGCTCGTGGCTTTGAGGGGTAAGTGAGGAGACTGAGGGAACCTCTGCGGTTGGGGCACAGAGCGCAACCTCTGGTACTGTAGTTTAGCACTTGCTGAAGCCATGGAGGAGGGCTGCGGTGCCCCAGGAGTGGATGAGACCACAGAGGGGGAGGATACAGAGGAGGAGGAGGTAGGTGGAGGAACATGGCTGGGATGAGACAAAGATGGAGGAGCTGGAAGGGCAGGGAGTTGGGGCGGCAAGCTTGCTATGAGGCTCGGGGGTGGGGATGATTGCCGTCCTCGATCTCTATCGGTTCTTTGTGTTCGCTGCTGTATACTGAGGTTTGACTGGCTGCCCGATTTGGGTGGATTCTGTGAGCGCTCGGGTTTGGAGGAGGATGAGGAGTCATGTTTTGGCTTCAGTGGACCTCGGTGGTACAGCTCTTCCTGGCTTCGGGAGCTTTCGCGGGGCCACTTGGAGGGGTGGGGTTGTGAACGGTGTCGCGGAGAATGACACGAGGAACAAGCGGCACGACCTTTCCCCTTGTTCTTTGATTTCCGTTTACTCTTCTTTTCATCCTGTATGTGGAGTTTGTCGACTGACCAGTATCGTCGAGGAGGTGGCGGCGTAAGTGGAGTGGGAGGCCAGCGTGATCCTGATCCCCACACTCTCTTTCTTGCATCCCCTCCAACGCCGTCACCTCCTCCTCCAACAGACCCCCATCCACTTTCTGCTGTCCCCCACCTGTCCCCCCGCTCCAGGAACAGGTCATCTCTACTGGTGATGCTGCCGGTTTTTTCCCTTGAAGGGTAGGTGCTGAAAAACCAACCACCCCCACCGATCCCTCCTACGGACCTGCCTTCATGATCCTCCCAATACCTCTCAAACTTCCCAAACTCTCCCGAGGAGCCATCATCATCAGAATATATCCCAACAACCTTATCACGTTCCCGCTCTTCATCTGACATAGTCCTTACTCCTCCACGCCTCTTTCCATGGTCTGCTTTTCTCCTCTCCATCTCAGAATCTTTCTTCCTCACCCTCTGCTCCGGACTCCCACTCGTGGAAAGACAGCCCCTCCTTGGAGTGCATCTGAGGTCTTCCATCCCGCCCAGCAATGGCCTCCTCTCTCTCTCTACTGCTACAGTTCCCCGCTCTGAACTTTACTCTACTTCGTTAGAGGAAACGGGCAACAAGGGTAGAAAGGCAGATGGAATGGTGTCGGAGTGACGTGTTGACTCCTCCCCAGAACTTGACAGATGTCGAAGGCTTTCCGCTAGAGTCAGGAAGGTGCTTGCTGTTTCTTCTCCTGTTTTGTGTTTCTTTCCCTCTGATTTCCTCCCCATCATCCCTCTCTTTCTCTTCTCCCTTCATCTCTTCACCTGGTATGTTCCATCCAAAGCTTCGGATTGAACTTTCACTCTTTTTCCGAAACGACTCTCGCCTCAGGCCTGGGTATGATGGGTAATCTGGTGTCCCTGATTTGAGTTCCTCTCTTTTGTCAGCATCCCCTCCCTCCTGCTCTGACCGCTTTTGGTCTCTCTTTTTCATCTTATCCTCTTTCTTCCTCTTCTTTGCTTTGCGCCGTTTTCGCTCCCTTTCTCTTTCCCTTTCCTCCCTCTTCTTCTTCTTCCTGCCTTTCTTCCTCCTCTTGCTGTCACGTTCCCTCTCTTTGTGATGTCTCTTTTCCTCTTTAGCTACTCCTCCATCCCCCCGTTTTCTTCCCCCTTCCCGGCCTCGCTCTCTGTCCCCCCATGATGCCCACCACTCCTGTAATTGTACCAGCTGGCTGCCTGTTCTCTCTCTGCCATGATCCCTCTGGAGACGTGGCTTCCGGGGCGGAACTGGTGGAGGTGGTGGGCTGCACGGCAGCGAGCGTGATGACATGCGACGGGAACGGATCTTCTTCTGTGTTCCCAGGAGGAGGCTGGACTCCTCTGTCAGCAGATCTGAATCATAATCGTCGTCCAACGTTAAATCCCGGTCGCCTGCCCGATACCGGAAACTCAGCGAAGAGTTGCAGGAGCTGTCACTGGAGCAAGAAGAGGGGGAATTTGATCTCGACTGTGAGACAGAGGATGAAGAAGAAGATGATGTTGATGAAGTGGAAGAGGAAGAGGACGAGGCACTGGAGCAGGAGGAGTAGATACGGCACAGGGAGGAATGAGTGGTGGGAGTGTGGGTAGGAGAAGAGAGTGGGACAGGCAGAGGTGGTGGAGGACGTCGCCCTCTCCTTCCACCTCCATCGCTGGCTCCATACCTCCCACCTCCTCTTCTACCCAGAGGGAGTATATTCTCATAGAGGGGACCTCCTGAGTTTTTTCTCTTTGCCTGAGCTAGGCTTCCTCGTCGCCAGAAAGGAGGCCTTCGTGGCGAAGATAGGAGCGTTGGAGGTGGCTTTGGGATTAAGTGCCATGGTCCTAGTTGGGAGCCTTTAGGAGGCATCCGCGGCATCCCTGAGGCTTTGTATCCTCTAGGATTGGCTTTGGGAGTCTGCTGGGGGCCTGCCGCTTGCAGTTCAGAGTTAACTCCCAGCCCCTCTGGATCTATAGGACCATAATAGCGCTTATATTCGTCTAGCACTGTGTCACCTCCTCCCCCAGCTCCCAACTGCCACTCCGCTCTGCAGGCCCCAGTGCTGTCCAAGGTTCAGCTGATACTGTGGGGCCTGAAGTTCAGTAATCCCTCCTGCGATCCCCCAACACCCACTCCCCCACCGCTTCCTCCGCTAATGACCTTCTCTGGCTTTGACCTGTTCCAGCGATCGACCACGGCAAGTCTTCGGTCATGGCGAGGCAAGAAGGTGGAGCAGGGCATGGGGCCTTCGAGCAAAGGGCTGTTTGAGGGTCCCAGAGCCATTGCAGAGTGCCCTGTAGTTGGCGGCGACCCGGGTAGCATGGTGGTGTAGGTCGGCCCCTGCTGCTGTTGATGGTGGTGCTTCTGATGCTGTTGAACCATGGCGATGGCGGTCGTGTTATTTATTGTGGAGGTAACAAGATGTTGTTGGGCTGCAGTGGCCATGCCGGTCATGGCGTGGTACTGGGGCAAAGAGCTACCTCCTGGTGCTGTCTCGTCCTCAAACTTGCAGCAACTATACATCCCCTGGGTGGAGCGATAAAAGAGAAATTGCAATTAGACCAGCAGGCGGCCAAGTTTGACATGGAGGAAGTGAGTGTGAGACAGTGAGACACTGAGACGACCGGCGTGTCACATTTTGGGAGGGAAACCTACATTGATCCGACACTTAACCAAACCGTTGGAAAGCAAACTACTGGTGTCATTGTTCCAGCGGTTTTCAACCAGACCATTTTTTCTTAGATTTGATATTTCTAACAAACCACCAGCTGCTATGAAACCTACAAAGAGAAACCAATAACCACATCCTTTTTCTGAATAGCTTAGCTTCCCCACAAATCACATGACTAATGCCTAAACAAACATGGCTTTGCAAGTTAGTTTGTTTTAAGAAAAGCTTGTTTGTTTGTTGATTGACCTCACTGAGGATCCAGTTAAACCTGCGAAATTAAGAAGGGATTTAAATTTGTCTGGCTTAAAAGTATGAGTTATGATATATCCACTATCCACCCGACTTTAGTCTTCACCCAGAACATCACATAAACAACTGTGTAAATGTGTTGGTTTAACACTTAGACAGAGGAAAATATCTTTATTCTGTTGTCTCTCACTATGCTGGCAAATTGCTTTAGGTGGTTTCCTTCTGCGTCTGTTTCTCTGTCTGCAAACAGACAGCAGAGAGTTTGGAAAAACTCTGGACTGAGTTTACCAAGATGTTAATTTCACACTATCAAGCAAAACAAAGCTTTCAGTACACAAAATATAAATTTAGCTTGAATAGGGGCTCGTTTTTTCTCCAAGGGGTTTAGATCTTCTGCAGAAGACTCAAAACAGTCTGATAAAGCAAACCTAACCAAACCTATTTGGTCGCTGGAATGAAAAACTGATGCTGAATATTAAAAGAATACGCTTTCCTCCCAGCTGCTAGGTGGCTTACTTAACCAGAACACAACAAAGAAAACGAAAATAGAACTTCTTCCGTTCTATTTTCACAGGTATCATGTATTTATTTATTATATATGCATATATAATAAATAAATACATGATACCTGTGAAAATAGTATATATTATATTAATATAATAATATTATATATATTTATATATATATATATATATATATATATATATATTATAAATATTATACACAAGGAACCTTAAAGCAGTGCATGAAAGTAAATCAAACCTGTTCTCGCTCAGAACGGATGACGCTCGGTTAGTAATTCAAACCTTTTTCAAACCTTAACCAGTTACTTTAGACTAAAACGCAAACATGAATTTATCCTACATAATTTTGAAATACAGCCCTATACGTCTTAAGTTAAAGGTCACTGACCAAAGGGCGGTTCTTATCAGTTAATCTTAAATATCCCAAATATTATATTGAAAAAATAATTAATGTTGTTCTGATGTAAATATTACATATTCTCGCTCCACATATAACTGTTACATCCGCTGAAATGAAAATGTCCTTTACACTTTAAATGTGTCTTGGTGTTATTACTTTAAGGCACTTGAAATCGCTCACTTGCTTTTAATGAACTGCTCTCAACGTCCGTGATAAGAACCAGTCTGTCTTTTTTATATCTCTGCAGCCACATCCAACCATGTTTGACATTAATAAAAGATGAAGTGAAAGAGCCAGTGTGTAAATTCCTCATGTCATTTTTTTAAAATGTGAAACCCCAAGGAGAATAAATTAGTTATACAAGACATGCAAGGCTACTTCTACTGTTTCTCGCCTACCTTTGTATATTTTAAGCTCCCTGAAGATAGAAGCGGCTAACCGAGCAGCCCCGTGGAGAGCCTTGTAAATCACCGAGACTCTATTATTCTTCATACCTGAAGATGATCTATAATATCCCGCGATATCGGTCACATCTTAATGACAAAATGTGTGGGGCCTTGTGTAAATCTCGGTTCCTCACGGGACACAGATCCGATGGAGGGACGTAATAATGGCCCTTCCGGACACATGAATCAGCCGTCCCCGGTGGCAGAAGTGCTATCTCAGTCTCCAGAGCGCGGGGCGCAGCGCACTGTGAAATTGAAACTCGGGTGAGTCACTGATTGGGTCAACGCAAGAAGCTATGAAGCAAGCGCGGAATAGATCGTGGAAGATACGAGTTAACTGCTCATTGAACTGATGGTTTTATTCTTAAAATGACGATTGCCACAGAGTCGAGTTTGCTGGTGCAAGAACATTTGATGTAAACCGCAACGTGCACGGTTGTCAAAGCAGTAATGGTATCTAACAGGCAGGAGGCGGTGGTGACGTCCCCGTGGCTTCTCTCTGTGAAGCTCCTCCTCCCTTCTGCTGCTGTGCTCTCTTCGGTTCCTTCTGGCCTCTCCTGAACCCCTGCTGTAGTCCACCACCTCTGCCTCCACCCCCTTACACTTGTCTTCTCATCTCAAAACCTTTCCTTATTCCGCAATTTCATCCAGTGCCTTACCTAATTACATCCCCGTTCCTCTCAACCCTCCTGCCTTTGCTCCTGAAAGTCTTTCTCAGGACTTTTCTAAATATTTCCAGATCCTCAGTGTGAACTTAGAGAAACTCTATTGGCTCTTAAAGAAGTGACCTTTCTGTGTGACTCGGAGGAGAAACACCATTGATGTTTTTCTCTTTGGTTTTCCCTCCTTGTGCCTTTGCTCGGTGCCAGAAACAAGTACCTTCCAAATCCAAACCTTGATTTTATTTGAAAACTGTGCGTTACTTTGGGCGGAGACGGGAGCCGTTTACCTGCAGCTTTCGTAAATACTAGGGGTGGGGGAAAAAAATTGATTCTTCAATTTCTCTCGATTCTCTCTAGAACGATTCGGTCGCGATTCAGAAAAGTTAATAATCGTAATTTAAAAAAAAGAAAAAGTCCGTCTCGCGCGATATTTGCTCCCTCGAGAAGCGTGAACTTCCTCGCTCGCGAGGTTAGTCTCTGCTCGCGCTCGAAGGTGTTTTCTACGCGCTCGCTGATTTTCTTTCTGACAGTAAGGGGGCGGAGCCAGTCACCACGGTCTCTACACCTGATGGTAACCGTAGTGGAGCGTAGACGACAACCAGCTACAACCATCATTTACCATCATTTAGGCACATTAAGAGCAATGCGTCCAGCTCGCAGACCGGTCCGTCAGTCTGAATCTGAGTATCTAATAACTTTACCGAACTATGGAGGAGCCTGCGCACATCTTACCTCATTATTTACATTTTCCAAAAAGTCGTTCCGTATTGAAAGTTGGGAAGATATTCACAGATTTGGACTTTTTTCCGGTATTTTACGGATACGGACCGGTCTGAGACTAAGAGCAGCTTTTTCTTCATTTAAAATAAAAATGTTTAATTTTTTTTCACATGGGGTACTTCCATATTGTGTTGAAATGCGAGCTGCGTTGGTTCTATCGTTGATAGAAAATCATATTTGTGACAAAGATTTTTTTTTCTCTTATAAAAAATTAGAGAATCTGTTGATTTTATTTAATTATCAAACAAAGTAGGAAGTGATTCGCAACCTCTGAGTAGCAAACTCAGATTTGAGAAAATTTAGAAAATCGAGATGCATCGATAATCGTTTTATCAGTTTAGAATCGATAATCGGTTTAGAATCGAATCGTTGACCTCTGAATCGTAATCGAGTCGAATCGTGAGGTGCCAAGAGATTCCCACCCCTAGTAAATAGGATGCAGGTCGAAGTATCACAGCTGATACAGCTGTCCATCTAGGCATAGAATTTACACCTGGGCTTTGCTGTGTTCACCCCTAGTCAGACAATGAACGGATGTGATGTGTTTTGTGGGAGCATGCGAAGCCTTTGCCGCCTCACCCTGCTGAGGGCCAGGAGGAAGTCCATCCCCCCGGATCGCTTCACACAGTGACGTAATTTCCAGTAAACCAGATGCTCCCAGGCAAACACCAGGAGGCTGAGACCCATGGCCACCAGCAGCATGTAGAAGACGCCCGCCATGTTGTCTATGTCCAGCTTACTGCTCATCACCTGGGGGGCAGAAGGGAAGGACGTGGGGGGGGCGACAGGAAATCTCTTTTGAATTAATAATTCTGATTCATTTGTGTAACACCAAATAACCCGTAAACAAATCCATATTGATATTGATCCAAACCCACAACAAGAAGAATTAGTTGGGTTTGGAAGCAAAACCAAACGAAGCGACAGATAGTTTCTCTCTGTAGGATCTGTTGTTGCTACACGCATCCAGTCCTTCCACATTCAGTTCATTCTAAAAACAGGGTGGATGTTGGAAACAAAGAGAAAGGGAATAAGATATCATACCTCGATCTTATCATTGTGGCAGATACCGGACAGCCAGAGACGCTCCAACATATCAATCTCGTCTGCAACACAATGGAGAGGAAAAGACCACGTCAGAATCAGGAGATGCTGAAAGAAAGTCCCATGAAAGGGAGAGTAAGATACAGGCCGAAAATAAAATGAAAAAAGAGCAATTAAGGGGGAAGAGAGATATCGGAGGAGAAAGAGTTAAAACAGTACAGCGCGAGAAAAGGAGATTAAAGGGAAACATGTTTTAAGGGGATTATTGCCCCTTTGTTGTGAGAGCAAGGTGTTTGATCCCCGAGAGAGAAGGAAGGAGCAAAGGAAGGAGCAAAGGAAGGAGAGAAGAAGGAGAACGCACAAGAAAAGAGGAGGACGGATGATGAAATGCAGCCCGAGTGGAGCGAAATGAGCAGAGAGTCAAAGCGTTTTTGCTTAATGTTAAAAATAGAGGCAAGACGGATGTGTGTGAGCAAAACCAAAAAAGGATCGCCTGCAACTCATAAACTGAATTAAAATGATTGCTTATACTATAAAGTAAGCAATAATTAATGAAGTGCATCAATGTACTGTGTTGCAGATGTTTTACAAATTACACAGAAATATAAATTAGACCACCTGGGGAGGAGCTAAAGTAGTGTTTTAAAAAGAGGCCATTTGAAGAGAAAGTCATCATTTTGAACAGAGAGCCGTCAGGCGGCGACAGGAAGTAGGCGAAGCCCTTTGAAGCAGGTCGCGGATCGGCGAGCTCGCCGAGGGCAGAGATGAAAGAACGCACACCAGCGCTTCCTGCTCAAACTGTCACAGCCACACACACATAATCTGAGCTGCAGCGCAACGGGACCCTCAGCGCCGGCCATCAGCGCTTTAATCAAAAAAAAATGAGGCAGCTGGAAGAAAGAAGAAGGATCAAATGTGCAAAGAGACTCGTGCAGACGGATGTGCACCAACACGCTCTGTAGCTGTCACAGTCAAAAGGAAGTTCCCATTCCCAAGGCTCACAGTGTTCATCACCCTCGGGTTAATTAACGCAGCCTGGAAAGCTCCGCCTCACAGATCGGACCACCGAGACGACCGAAGCATCCGATCCGCCCAAACAAAACACAAACCGCGCTCCGACAGGACTCTCCTTTCACCCCCGGCAGTCTCGTGTGACAATTCAGACGTTCCTTGACAGCCGAATTAAACCCGGCTCAGCTCCATCGACCCGGCCTGCTCTCGGGTCCCGGCCGAGGGGCCGACGCGCGTGTGCGCTGCCACAATCAAATCCATGGAGTTAGCGCTGAGCCTCATCTCGCCGCGGAAGCCTCAATCGTGGCGATCTGCGGCGCATTAAGCTAAGGGAGGAGCCTTCACCAACGAGAGATGGCGGACGGGTTGTACCCCCCCCCTGTGCACGGCCCTTTACAAATAAGAACGGAAGACGTGCCAGAGCTTCAAATTCACTTCACGTTGTGTTTCATTTCCGTTTAGTTCCAAATGAATCTCCTCATCTGGCTCCTTCCTTCTTCCCCCCGTCCCCCCGCATTAGTCTCTTCACAGAGAGAGGCGTCCGTATGGGCAGATTTGGGGTCAAAGGTCAGACCACGTCTACTGTGGGTGCAAGACCAAAGCTTTGTTGGTTTTATTTTTCATTTTCTTGGAGTTTCTAATTGTGGTAATTGTTGCGTATCTTGTTTATTCTTTTGCTGATGTAAAAGAATGACATCATCGGCAAAAAGGCTAATTGTCCCACAAATGGTGCCTGGTATTCAAGCAGCGTGTCTCCATTCCAGTTTCATAACATCAATTCCAAATATGTTGCTGGGTGCAAGTTTTCACTGTACTGAAAAGTGCTTCTGTCTTACCGGAGCGAGCGTGTTAAATAAAACAATAGTTTTTTGGTTCTTCAATTTCACATTTGAATAAATCTTTCCCCCCGTATTTACATTACATTTCATCTTCAGTTTAGTTCAAACAAAGCAACAGTGAACTTTTCAGAGGAAAAGACAGAAAGTCGTCTCCGCTTGTTGCCACAGCTTCTTTGTGAGTGACAGAAGTGAATTAACGTCTCTGCCGACGCGAGATCGCACGTTTCCTTCGAGTCTCAAACAAATTGCTTTGGGCAAACTGAAGGTGTTTTTTCAGCAGCACACCTGTGAGGGGACAGACGTCGATGATTGGACGAGCGGGTGGAGGGACACGTCCGCGGAGCCGTGCAGTCGGTGTGTGTTGGTGGGAGGCGGAGAAGTTTTAAAGATCTTTGCTGTATCCGCATCCACAAAGTAGTCAGAGCGCCTCCGAGAGAGAAACAACACCACGTTTGAATCCCATTCCAGCGCCTGTTTCACGATGAGCTCGTTTGTTTTTAGATTTTCATCCCCACATGATTCGTGGATTTTGTTTGACTTTGGAATTTAATAAAACATGAGGAGAACATTGCAGGTTCAGGACAATATCTGCAAACCCTATTCCCAGTCTATGAAATTAAAATCAACATCAGGGCCTCTGACGACGCAGCTTCCCGTGGGCGAGCCGCGCCGGCCTCCGTCCTCAGCGCAAAAGCCTTCGCATTTTCTTCTCGTCACTCTTTTGTGCGCGAGGTGTTTTCTATCGGCTTCGCTCCGTCACCGTGAATCACCGTCACCGTCACAAAAGGGAAGGTGGAGCGGAGGCGAACTCGGCATGCGAGCCGCTGTGGGATCTGAGTCCGGGAGCAACGTCAGCCGACGCTGCTGCTGCTGCAACCGGGCCACTTCGCCCGACTTTGAAAAGGTTTCCTTTGTCTAAGTGTGGCTGCGCGCTTCCGTTTAATATGTCGTACTTTGAACCGTGTTGTATGATGGAGAAGATGAGACGCTGCATGACGCCTCTTTGTTTCTGTGATGCTCTAAGATGCTCCATGAGTCTGAGACACTACGTGTTGCTCTCTTGCCTCCATCAGCTCTCCTCAGCTTCACGCTGATCAAGTCAAGGCCACAACTGTGGCGTGCGTGTGTTGCGTGTGCGTGTGCGTGTGTTGCCCTGTGCGTGTGCCGTGGAGTCCACAGACTACATTGCTGCTGAGCTGATTCACTTCCCCCAGGCTGCACGTCTTCCACCCCATCGGCTGTCGTTTGCAATGAGAGTTCGATTTGCCAAAACTCCCCCTGGTTCGTTGTGTTACATCCTCAACCTCCGACCCTTCACTTACTCGTCGCTGTGTGGGGTTACATCGTTAGTCCACCAACACGACAAAAACCTGATCAACGCAATAAGAGCATCGTTCATCCGGATGTAATACAAAATATGAGAGGGAGAAAGCTGAAAGCTGAAAGAATATTTGCCTCCAATTTCCCATTTTCCAGTTTCAACGTTTTCCTTCTCCCGTCGCCCTCCAGCGCTCGCTGCCCCGGGGGGGGCCCGCTGGCACGGAGGCGTCCTCCACCCGCGCTCTCCAGCTAGCTGATGGCAGTCGGGCTACGTCTGTACCCAGAGGAGACGGTTTGGTGACAGACCAACTCTTTCATTTCAAAAGCCAAATGAAGGTTTCATGCAGAGCGACCACGGAGCTGCTGAGGGCCAGAGTGGACGCGCGCGCTTGGCCAGTTGAAGGAAATGAAGGAGTTAAAAAACGTTCCTGGTAGAACGTTTCCTTTCGTTTGGACTTTGGGGAGAATCGCTGTGAGGAGTGCATGCCAGGGCCTGACCCCCCCCGAGGGAAATGGCGTCATGGATACTCCTGAACGTCTGGAGAAGATGCTGCACTGAGATGAAGGCAACCAGGAGAAGGTCAGAGAGCGAACGGTTCCTCGTTGGTGCAGAAAAGCACGACTACCAGTGATGCTGCAGGTCATAACCCACCAGGAACCCCTCGTGTTAAACTTGTAGAGCAGAAGTGATGGAGACAGAGACGTGTGTGTGATGAGCCACTCAGTGTGTGTGCGTGTGTGTGTGTGTGTGTGTGTGTGTGTGTCTGTGTGTCATATGACAGCTTTAAGATCACACTTCCTCTGCTCTTCCCTTCTGCTCTCCTTGGCTTTGACCTTCCAGTATCGATCCCTCCCAACGCTCTTAAAACCTTCCTGTCTTTCATTCCTCAACTGCCTCAACCTCAAAAAAACGATCACGTCCAACAACATAAAAACATCCTGTCTAATTACTGAAAGAGGGGCAATTAATAACTGCAGGATGTCTGTTCTGTGACCGCTGTTCTCTTGCTGATGAGGAGGCAGCAGGGAGTATGGAAGTAAATCTGTGTCATCGGATTTTGAAAGAAAAAGGTGATTGAATTTTTTGCAGTTGAATATTTATGCATTGAAATCATGTATATGAATGTATTTCAATGTTAAAATATTCAACCACAAATAATTCAACCGCAAAAATTCAACCAAAAAAAATTCAACCGGAAAAAATTCAACCGCAAAAAATTCAACCGGAAAAAATTCAACCGCAAAAATTCAACTGCAAAAAATTCAACCGCAAAAATTCAACCGCAAAAAATTCAACCGCAAAAATTCAACCACAAATAATTCAACCACAAATAATTCAACCGCAAAAATTCAACCACAAAAAATTCAACCGCAAAAATTCAACCGCAAAAAATTCAACCGCAAAAAATTCAACCGCAAAAATTCAACCGCAAAAAATTAAACCGCAAAAATTCAACCACAAAAAATTCAACCGCAAAAATTCAACCACAAAAAATTTAACCGCAAAAAATTTAACCGCAAAAATTCAACCGCAAAAACTTCAACCGCAAAAATTCAATGGCAAAAAATCCAACCGCAACATCCGGGAACCCAAGGACGAGCAATCAATTCTAGAACACGGCGACTATGAAATGATCCCCCCCCAGCCTTACCGTCTCCCACCAGCTGCAGCAGCGCCAGGTCCAGGGGCCGCTTCCAGCGGGAGTTCTTGTGCAGGGCGATGCCGTAGCCCGTAGTGGCAAACACCTTTCCGGAGCCGATGGTCATCACCTGGTGGAGCAACGCGTGAACACATCACACATCCGAGCAAACAGCTACAACGGGGGAATCCCGGGGGGGGGGTTCAGGCCCCAAGGCGTGGCCTGTACGTGTCACACATGCACATCTACACGTTGAATGGTGCCACGAGGCCTCGTTTCGTCATGTGAGCGTCTTCCTCGCCTCCTCGAGGACGTTATAACTTGGAAATGGAAAAGGCTCCTGATCAGATTCAAAGACCCCCGCAGCCAAAAGGCAACACAAATCAGCCTAATTGCTGCTGCGATGTGATTAATGCAAAACAGTTGGCCGAGTTATAAAATCAACGTCTCGCAAAAGTCCCAGAGCCTTCGAGCGGGACTTTGTTTTCATCTGAGGAGCTGCTATAGATCCACATCAGCTGTAATAATTACTGCAGCAGTGTGGGAGCGGCGGCCTCCTGCGGACCTTATTACCCAGGATCACTGTGCAGGACTTCCACACTCGCCCTGGGAGCTCAATCACATGCAAACCTAGAAATAAATCAACACCAGCGCGGCCCAAAAATGACAATATGCAGAATCACAACACGCTACGGGCGGCGAGGGACACATATTAATGCGGCGGGTGTGTTTCATTAACTCTGTGCCTGTTGCAGTCGGTTTGTCGCATGCTGGTTGGTGGAGGGTTGCAGCTGCCGGGGACATTAACAGCAGCTGCCTGCACGCGCCAGGACGCACAGATCAATTTCTCACCCTACAGCCCTCGTCCTTTCTGGCCATATAGTTCAGCACCGCTGCGTCATAAATGAAGGCATCCAGTTTCCTGCAGGGAAGGAAGAGATGAGGTCAATAGCAACCCTTGAAATGGAAAGCATTGACGTGGAGCTGGACAAGGACATAAAAAAGGAAGAAAGTGCCACCGATGAACAAAATGGGGAGCGATGGTGGACAAAAGCTCTGCTGGGACAACGAATGTGGCATCGCGGCTCACGGGGAGGATTCATGCCGCAGCATCTCTGGACGAAGTGACTGCATCTGCTCTCCACGTCAATATATATTTACACTGAAGCTGCAGTGTACTAGAAAGAGAGGAAGAGCAGGGGGCACCTGCCCCGGAGGAGGGGGGGTTCAAAGGAGGTGGTTGAAACGCTAGTGGGGGAGGGTGAGGGAGGCTGCATATAATACCGGAGGGAGCGAGAGAGAGGAAAGGATGTGAGAAGGAGTTAAAAGGCAGAAAGTGGGATAAGGAGGGGGAGGAAGGGGGAGTCAGAAGAGGAGGGAGGACGACGAGGCAGAGATGGAGAGGAAGAGTCATGTGGAGTCTGTGGATGACGGCAGGAGTCAGAGAGAGACGGAGAAGAAGATGAGGTAAGACGATGAGAAGGAATGCATCATGGGAGTTCTGTAGCTGAGTGTCAAAGTGTCTTTGCTTGTCCCATTAAACATTTGCACCCCCCCCCCCTGCCTCCAAACAAGATGAGCATGTGTGTATTTCATGGCAAGTGTGCTTTGCGGCCCCCCGGGCAGATAATAAACCTCCCTCGTTGAAGACAGCGCTGAGGCGGCAGGTCCCCCCCCCCACCCCCCCCCCCCCCCCCCCACCCCCGCACTGCGGCTGCTGCTAGCATGCATTATTCAAAAGTTCAAGTTAAACAGAAACCACAAAGGTTCGAGCTACGTGATAAGAATCAGAGCCTCGTTACCGTGAATGTTGCACCTTCCTCGGTGAGGACCCTCACGAACCCCCCAGGTGAACCTCTGGGTATGTGGCTCCACACCGTGGTCGCAGCAACCACTGGTACCAACGTTGTAAGCGTAAAAAATCCCTTCCTTCAGTTTAGGGCGAATATCAGTACCTATGCGCCGGAAACGCAACCCCGCCCCCCCGCCCCGCCCCCCAACCCGCCCCCCGTCCCCCGCCCCGCCCACTCTTCTGCTTCCCTTACCCGGACTTGAGGTTCTCGATGGCCTCCTCTACGGACTTCTGGTTGTTGCGGATCATGTACTGGTGCATGTTGGGATAGTTGGAGCGGATGTTCTCCTCCGTGCTGCCGTTGGGCACCGTTCCGAAGCGCAGCGGCGGGTACTGCTCCGTCGGCTGCTGGAACTGCCAACGGAAGACGAAAGTTAAAGAGCCGGATGAGCTGGACGTCTTCTCGCTGGGAGCATTTCACTCGCCGATAACTTTCGCTATTCGCTGGGACGATAAACCCTCTTCGTTCCCCCTCCATCTCTTTTAAGGTGACATGAACGCCACTAATGTTGGCCCCCGCCCCTCCAGCGGTACCTTCTTATCCGACAGCCCCGACACCGTGTCGATGTACTCCTCCTGGATCATGAAGGCAGCCAGGTTGGCGGTGTAGGAGGCCAGGAAGATGACAGCGAAGAAGGCCCACACCAGCACCTGAGGGGGGGGGGGGGGGGGGTTGAGGGGAAGCAAAGGGGCTCCATCTGACACACGTGAAAGTATTTTAAGATCGGAAAGCAACACTTTCTACGAGTAGTCGGCATTTCATCGCTGAGCCCCCGGAAAGGGACGCGGCGTCGCGCCTGGAGGGCTGAGCCGTATTTGTCTGCAAGAGAAGAAATGTGATGAGGTGACAAGTTGTAGAGTTTCTCTTTCTCTTCCTTGAATCTTAATGATTCTGTCACATGCCATATGCACGAGTGACGAATAGCACAGTGAAGTAACAGAGATAGTGTATTTAAATACACCTACTTTAGTATTAGACTTTTAAGCAACTTAAGACTTTTACTCCATTTTAGTCCTTGGAGAATATTATACTGTTTAATCCGCTACATTTATCACACAGCTATAGGTAGGTATTTATATTATATATATATATATATATGTATTCATAATACATACGGACCAAAGTAAAGTTTCAGTAATGCCTTTCAAAGAATCCACACTTCTTCAGAGCATCTGACCTACATTACGGGCGCATTTAAAGGATCCTTTGAAAGGCGGTTCAGGGATCTTTTCGCCGTCCAGACGTGCCGCTTTCATTTCCTGCGAGCCGGCCAGGATCAAGAGAGAGGAAGTGGAACTTCTCTCTCTCCGCTGATCAACGATCACGGCGTCTTTATGCCGAAAGCTAATTTTCTTAATGAACACGATGAACAATGAGGCAAGAGAGGCGTGATTTATGAAGAAGCGATGTCAGTGAACGAGAGTGAAACGTTTCGCTTCAGGCGGAGGATTTGGAGGGTTCAAGGACGGACTTCTCACTTACGATGACGTCGTGATGGGGGTCGTGACCCCTCTAAATTGACTTTGATGTATGACATCGATCATACCGACATGCGCGGATGGACACTGAGGACCGGTGACGTGATCCCTTGTCTATTGTCTGAAATGATATTTGTAAATGCATCAGATTAGAATTTGGTCTTTTTGGTGCAGTTAAAAAAATGTCCTGCACACAAGGTGCGTAAAGCGAAGCAGCGATTTAACTAAAATCAACAACATTTCCAGAGAAACGGAACTAAGATGCGCTCGTGACCCCCGCTGCGACGCCCACGGAGCAGCTAATGCTCTCTTGTGATGATTGGGCTTGTTGTGGGAAGCACTTGTGACAGTCAGAAGAAAAGAGGCACCTGGAGTTCTCCCCTCTGGGGCCAGACGGGCTCTGATTTCTGCTCCATGTGGAGGCAACGAGAGGAACAGCAGGCGCTAAAAACGCTGCTGCTGTGAGACAAGTGAAGGAACCCTCAAACTGATTGCACTGGCTCATGAAATTCACATTTATTTATACATGTACATATATATATATATATATATTCAGATGCAGATCTTGCTGATCTTGGCCCGAAGAACACGGAGAAGATTCCAAATTCCCTGAAAAAAAGTGGCAGCTCTCGAGACGGAGGAGATGGATTAGAACCTTCGCACATGTTCTTGAGCTAATGATCATTTTCTTTGATCTGCTTTCATTTGCAAACCCAAACAGACTTAAAGGAAAATGCTCAACGTACCAGTTTCTCCTCATTCCGACTAAACAAACGGAAACGTGATGCTGGTGGACGTGCAACTCTGTCTTCTTAAACGACACCTTTCACCAGCGAATCGAGCTCCCGGGCCAATGGACGAAGAGGCTGGAGGGACTCACCATGATCTTGCTGGTGGTTCCTCTGGGGTTCTCCACAGGCACAGAGTTGTTGAAGACCAGCGCCCAGAGCAGCCACACAGACTTCCCTATGGTGAACTTGGATCCACCCGACCCTGAGGGAGGGAGAGACAGCGGGACGCCGTTAGCCGAGTCGGGGATCCAGAAGGTCGATCCTGCAAGAGGCTGGAGAAGAGCAGCGGAGCTTTTCTGTAGCCTCAGAGGAAGGAAACGAGGAGAAGCTCAAAGGCTTTGAGAAAACAGCAGAAGAGACAACATGCGCCTTCCTGTCACTCGGGCTCTGCAGAATCCCACCTGTGTCCGTGTGTCACACAGTAATGAATAAGATGGTGGAAAAGGAACGTGGCAACGGCTCGCAACAAACGATGAACTGTAAAACTGTCAAAAAACAACTGTTTGTTTTGTCATAAATAAACAAGCGTGAGCGGGGAAGTGGAGCGATTGTTGCCACAGTGGGAAAATGCCGAAAACGTTTTGCATAATTTGAGCAAACTCCCTCCTCGAATTAGCCCCCCCCCCCCGTCCCTCCCCACTCGCTTGCATAACTGACGAAATGACAAGTCGGCGCTAATGTTGCCGCGGCGCCCCGGCGGGCTGATTGCGCCTCTTACTCTTGGCGCTCTGCAGGCTGCGGTTGTATCCCACGGGGCTGAAGAACTCAAAGATGAAGACGGTGACGGCGACCACCGACAGGCACATGACGAACATCATCACCCACACCGCCGGGCTGTAGGGCTCTGCAACACACAAGCACGCGTTGGCCTTCCATCGGCGAGGCAGCACAAAAACAACTGGTCCTGCTCAAAAGGATGACACATAAAGACCTTGCAACATGAGAGCATTTGAATGCCTTCGTTTAATTGTGTGCTGCTCAGTTTGCACTCAACCGAAGGGCTTCGGCCGGACTCACCGTCGAGGTCGCGTTAGCACACATGGACTCACGAACGTCATCCATCAGGAGTTCTCTTTACCGCCAACTTGCACCACGTCAGCTGTGACCTTTGCGTGTTCAACGTGGACCCAGCTGCTAAATGCTGCTAAATGCCTGATCCTTCTGCAGACGTGGTTTTCTGCTGTGAACCACTTGTCACTTTCTGTTCGCTGGTGCACTTACATTTTTTTATATTTTGTAACTTTTTAACCCATATCCTTATACTACAAACCCATTGCATTCTATTTTATTTTATTTGTCTTCACACTGTTGTCGTCTATTGTCGTACTGTCTGCTGTTACGCACAAACCGTGACATATTATGGCAATAAATGTTTCCTGAGTCCTGATCCTGAACAGTCCGGTGAAGAAGAACTCCCTCTGAAGCACAATTAAGCTTCTCACGTCCTGCTTCAGGTCACCTGTTCAATTGATTTTAAATTGCTTGTTTTTATTTCCTCTGTTTTTGATTTAATAAAAAAATACCCGATGCAGTCCTTTCTAACAGCGATCAAAAGTATTGCCGTGTACATGATTCATTTCTGACAAATCAATTCATTTATAGTCCATTTTATGTAATTGTGAACCGTATGAATGCAGACAGACTGGTTGAAGCACACGGGACGCATGAACACGTGACACTGTGCTTTTCATCCGACTTCGCGCAGATTTAAATGCATAATTCCAAAGTGTTTACTTTGAACGCTTTTCGCATTCGTTCAGCCCGATTTGAACGTATTTCATCATTTCTGCTTTTAGGTCGGAGCACTTTGTCTAACCAGCGATTACAGCCGCTGACTTTACAAAGGAGAAGCTTCTTTTCTTCACCAGGTCGTTTTACACCATCCTCCCTTCACCTGCATGTGGATCCTTCACACAAAGAATACACCTGTTTTACATTATTTTCCTATTAGTTTAATTGAAGGATTTATTTCATGCATATTCTGGAGACTGTTTGTGATTTTGTATCCCGGTGAAAGGACTTGCTGTTGGATTTAATCCGCTCTGCATCCCTCTGGTGAAGCCAACAAACAGCTTGGCAGTGAGTGCGTGTAAATAATTACACGGCGCACCGCAAACACTTAAGATCCCGTTTGATGTATTGTCTTCGCAGCGTAAAGCAGCTGCCAGTTGTTCTGGAAGCGGCGTCAGCCTTGTTTTATTCCCATTTTTTAATCTACATTCATGCGCTCGCTCCTAAACCCAACGCCAGGAGACGAAGTGCGATGGAACGCGCGCCCGGGAGCTGCTGCAGGTTGATCCAGCGGGGCGGGAGGGGTCCAGGTCAATCAGGTGCACGTGCAACTTCCTCGGGGCATTCAAGCAGCCGTTTGCTACCTGAAGTGACGGCATTATTTATTCATTGGGCTCCCAGAAGGTCCAGATTCTTACTTTAAGACGTTCTCCGCACACAGCTGAGGGAGCTATTCGCTAATTAGGACGTTTAAATGGAATCCAGTTTCCACACGGGACATGTGACAACCACGGTGTGTCCTTACGCGGCCCCTCTGCGCCGTGTCTTATTGCTAGTGTGCACCTGTTTATCATGCAAATATCATGTGCATTTATTATTAAATCCAATTTGCACCTGAAAGACAAGCGCGTGGGGAAATGGAATCTCGTAGTGCATTTTGGCCTGCAGCCCTACATGAGGTATTATTCTAACAATGGAAACGTCTTGTACCTTATAAATATCGCCATGAAGTGACACGCGCGACGCAGACGTTTACCCGCAGGAAGACCACTTAATTTGTTAAATGTCACCAACGCTTTTGAGGAGAAAGATGGTTGTTTGCAGAATGCAAAGCAGCCTCCTCTAAAGTAACGAGAGGGTGAATCATCCGATCAGTGGGAGATCTTTGCTGCTGTTTTATGGCCATTTCATCGCCTTTCAAAGTGCAAAATGCGGTGAAGAGTGAATGTAGAAGAGGATTCACATCCACGTAAACGCCAATTTCAACATCGGCTCTTAACGAAAACACGTACGTTGACTATGTGAGAAAACGGACATTCGTTCAGTCCCTTTATCAAAAGTTAACAATCCCTTATTGTGAGAAAATCTCATTATGGTTTCAATCACAGAGACAGCTGCAGAGCTGCGGAGCGGCACATCGCCGGCGTTCGGCCCGCTGGCAGCCAATCAGCAACGAGCGGCAACGCGGCTTTGCTGTTCCGACGAGATTCACATTGAATCAGATCAGCTCCTGTGAGGCTCTGCTAAATGGTTATTTGTGTGATCCGTGTTTCACGAGGTGAGACCACGAGAGGCGAACGCGCCTCCGGATGAAGACGCCCGGGAGGCGGGACACACAAAATGCAACAAAGGAGGTAAAACAAAAGGACGCGAGTGCCGTAAACGTAGATGATCTCAGGCAGGACGTTGGCGGGTCGCTCTACGCCTGTGATCTCACGCTCACTTTTCAAAACCGTCGGCGGCTTCCACATGTTCTCCTAGAAAGCGCGGGCCCCCGAATCGCCGCTGTGAGTGACGAGCGGCTCCTCGCCCCTCCGCGTCCCGGGGCGGTCCGAACGGGTTGTTATCCAGGCCTCGGTGTCTCCACCACCCTTTCCCCGGTCGAGGATCGACCCCGGTGGCGTTAAGCGCGTCTGTTAAACCGTCGCCAGCCGGGCCCCAGAAAACCCGCGGGGCAGCAGACGGCGTCCGACGCGAATCACATTCCTCCGTTAGCACGCGTCTCAGCGCCGCCGATAGCACTTGAATGCTGAATGTGGCTGTGAGACGGTTTCCAGCTGGCGGGAGGCGCGTGACTGGATTGTAAATGCAGCCATCAGAGCGGCTGCTCGGCTCGTTACGGACCATCAGGCTTCACTCCGTCACACGGACCTTTTTGTGTCTCGCCGTGTTCACGCTCATATGTCGGGACGCGCGTGTTCAGGCATTTTGGTGGATGTTGTTGCGCGTAGCTTAATATGTGTATTTGACGTGAAACTGCAAACACTGTCAACTCCGGACAGCGGGAAGAGAAGCCGTTGCCGAGGCAACCAGCCCCCAGGATTCTTTCCTCCCGTCATTTGTTCTTGATTTCTTAAATGTAGCAAATCTCCTGCTTCGAACATGTCGGCGCCGCGTCCGTTAATCCCCGCCTGCCTTTTTCTTCTGGTCCTCTCTACTTCTTCCTAACCAGCTCCTGCCTCCTCGCTCGCTCCACTTCATCTTCTTCACTTGATTGTTCTTTCACCTTTGACCTCCCCCCCCCCCCCCCCCCCTCCGCCTCATGCACTGGCGACTATAAGGGCTGGAAGGCGATGCTGCTGTCCAACATCATGATCGTGTTCCAGATTGTCTCTTAAATGTCCTCTGACAGAAGGATGGAAGTTCTCCCCTATGAAGTATGAAGTAGATCCCTTCAGGGAGGACAAGTCTGAAGGGAGAGCATGAGTCCACTCCTGCAGCAGACGTATTTCATGGAAGTGTGATCGACCTCGCTCTGGGGGGGGGGCTTGAGATTTACAACCCACATCTGCATTGAACGCTCGCAGCTCGCTCCACAACCTTGGAGAACAGATGTGGGAGGACAGAGATCGTCCAGAGCTATTTAGGAGTCGTTTTGATCCAGTCAGTTATTAATATTAATAATGTGTTGTTCAGGACCTGAGAAAGCGTATTTGTTGATCAGCAGGCAGAAGAGAAACAGCAGCCTGCAAACACTAAATAAGTGACACACTGTAGTGTTACTGTGCAACAGATCAGAGATCAGTCAGCATCCTCCAAATATGAATATGAGGATTTCCTCTTTTCAAGTCTTAGAGCTAGTCGGGGAATTTGTACATTTTACAGAATGATGAAACGTTGCTTTAAGTTATAAAATGTGCCTTTTGCCTCAAGTGTTAAACATCTTAGAATAATTACACAAAACAGGAGAATGTTTTCTGAAAAAACAGCAGCTGGGTCACAACCGGAGAGTGAAATGATTAAATTCAGAAAAAAATCCTCTTCAGTATCCAGCCGATCGGTTGAAGTCAGAGTTGTTTGTCCATCTGAATGAATAGCTGGGAGCTAATGAGTCATTTTATCTTATGGGCTCATCTGGCTCACACGCACACACACACACACACACACACACACACACACACACACACACAGAGCAGCATGTCAACCAGCCGCCGTTGGGATTAAAACATCTGAAAATATCTGCAGCAGCTCTATTGCTCGTTTTATCAAAACGCACTCAAGCTCAGCCTCACTCTTTGTGTTTGGTTTAAATCTGTAGACGACACACACACACACACACTCACACACACACACACACACACACACACACACACACATTCTCTATCCTCCTCTCTTCTCTCCTTTCCTATTTTTAGACTAAGACGATTTGTAAATTAAGAGGTTTTATATTAGCAAAGGGCGACTTTGAATGAGCGAATAATTAACGAAGAAAATAGGAGAGAGGAAATGAAAATGGCAAAGAAGGAAAAGAAGGAAAAGAAGGAAAAGAAGGAAAAGAAGGAAAAGAACTCCACCAGGGGCCTCATTAGGATGCAGAGAACATCGAGTCAAAAGTCCAGATTGTCGGCTTTGATTTGAGATGCATAAATAGACAAACGCTGGTAAGAACTGGAGGCCCGGGACACAGCGGAGGATCATTTACAGGCTCAGGCGAGTTGTCAGAACCGCTGCTGGACTTTCTGTCCTTCCAAAGGCATCTTCTCATACCAGCTATTGATCAGGATCCGCCCAGTTTGCAGATCCGGAACCTCTGTCCATGAGTTAAACACAGATGTGTACTAATACACGGTTGAATGTCAGGTCATGTGGTCGAGATGCTATGATGATGATGATGGTGATGATGATGATGGTGATGATGATGGTGATGATGATGATGATGTGTGTGTGTGTGTGTGTGTGGATTCAATTCAATTCCTTTCATTCCGTCCAGCTGTTGTCAAACAAGCTGGAGGTCGAGGATCTGAAGGTCTGAGATGTCGGCAATTCAGTGATCCATAAACCTGATGATGGATTTGTATTCATCAGGTTCTGTGACAGACGTGTAAGTGATGTAACGACTCCCACAACACGCGCTCGTGTGACTGACAATGAAAATCCTTCAACGTACGTCGACCAACATCCATGAAACAGGTATTTTTTCTTTGTCCTGTTGTTCAGGACCTGCTTCATTGAACAAGAGATGATTCACATCACACTTCAGTCATTACACAGGATAATTAATAAATAATGATCACCTCATTAGGACTGTGATCTTTTCTGCCTTTGCTTAATTTACACACGTACACAACATCAGTTTGAGGGTGAAGTTTCCGGTTATTGATATTGAAGAAGTTTGGGTTTTTCGTGCTTTCTTTAGTTTCTTTAGTCTCTCGGTGGAGAAGCCCTTTGTTATTGTAAACACTTGGCCAATAAAATAGATTTTGAGAATCTTCCACATCAACAGCAAAATAACAGCAGGTCAATACTTTGAAATCTCTGGTTTTTCCGTATTGTTCATCAGAAAAACACTGCTGGAGCTTTTCCGTTCACTCAGGTTTGATTTTCTGCAAAACTGTCTCAAGTCTGAGAAATAATCCACAAAAAGTTTTGACTGTGTACCAAAACCTGTGGGAGGAAATAGGAGATAAATTCAAATTACCTTCTGGTTTGATTCGGGAAGAGAGGAAGACGATGTGAATCAGCCCACTGGGTTGAGAAATGAACACACCTTGAATTGAAAAGTCCATTTCTTTATGCATGTAAGATGCCTTTTATCGGCCTTCCTGTTGGAATCATTGGATTTGAGTATTTTGTGTGTGATTGGAATTCATTTCGTCGCTGCTGCTCCCTGTTTGCTACTCGGTCTGATCCAGCGTGTTTACATCTCGCCGGCTGCAAACGGGTCGTTGGGCTCGTTTCTCAGTTCCTCTCCGCCACTAATCGAGCTGTCGCACAAACAAAGCGACTTCCTGCTCGCGTTCGTGGGCTAAAACTCACCGAGGAAAGCAGAAGGCGACACGGTGCCGTTGCTGCGAGAAACCATGACGCTGATGCCGGTCTCCACGAACGGAACGGAGAACTCGACGACCTCCGACCTCTCCTCGTTGATGGTGAGGGACCCGATGGCCATGTCCGCTCTGTTGGACACCACCTGGAAAGGAGGCCGCATGTGGTTGGACGGATTCATTCCTTTTCAATGGTTGGAGAACATAACATTTGGACCAGAAAGGGACCCGAAAATGTGTGGAGACAAAAGCCCGGCGGCTCCTTTGACTTTGAGGCTCTCTGAGTCACAATCCTGAAAGTCCTCTTTGTCCTCCTCTGTCGACGTCCTACATTGTTATCACCTGTCAATCAACGAGCACATTTCCTCCGTTCAGCCAGGATGGCGGTGCCAGTTAAACCAGTTCACTTAAGTCCGTAGTATCGAACAATATGGAGGATACAGGGCCACAGATGTGTAGCAGTTATACAGCATCAGGACCTCCACCAGGACCTCCACCAGGACCTCCATCAGGACCTTTAAACCGACTTGTAAATTCAAGCGCGTTGCCATGAAACGACACAATTACATAATAAAATCAGGCCCAACTAAAGGATAACCTTTATCAAACCAGTTCCCGGTCTCAGCACAACACGTCCTAATTACCATCATAATGACTTATAATAAGTTACCGTACTGAGAGGCAGGAAGCCGATTCTGTGAATGTGCGGCTGAAGCTCTTTGCTTTGAATCCTTTTCAAAGTACATTTCTGCAGAAGGTTGATCTGATAGAAACTTTAGTTCTGTCTGTCAAGATCAATCATTCCACCATAATTATTCCATTCAATCCACCGAGGCCCGAATGTCTGAGTAACTCCATGAGGGAAGAGAAAATATTACCAAAATATTACACCGGGATGAGGAAACGACCACCTGAGCGTGAGTCCGTAGTGCTGCAGTGTGACATGTGGAAGAACGGCTGCAGGGAGGACGTGTGGGAGGAGTTCAGCTCATTTAAAGAGTCATCATCGTTCCACATGTCATTTTCCTTGTCTACTCATATAAGCTGAAGGAAGCGCTTTAAGGTCAAATGAAATGCCGTTCATAATACCAGCACCTGCTTATACAATTACCCGCCTGTCGTTCTTACGTCAGCACTGGTAAAATCGTTCTCCCCGAAAAAAAATCGCTGGCCCTGGAAGCAGGAAACCGCCGAGAAGAGGACAATGTGGGACGCAACAGTTTGCACAGTGACTCAGTTTCCCCGCGGGCACAAACACACACTCCACGGCCATGATGATGCAGCTTAATGAGCAGGAGGGAGAGAGAGAGTCACACACCTGCATCTCTGAGGTCTATCGGAACAACAGCATCTGGACTACGAGCAAACACTGATACTGAGAATATTTGGTTAAAGCTAACACACACACACACACACACACACACACACTCACACACACTCTCACACACTCACAGTGTGTGTTGTCCTCTTTCACTACTAACCCTCCCAACAAGCCCCCCACCCTCCATCTCTTCCTTCTACTTCTTGGTTTTGGGGACAATCCTCTCTCTCTTTAAGATATTTCACTGGAGCCCAATCAAACATCCCTTTTTTTAAATACGAAAAAATTATAAAAAAATAAGAGAATAAGAAAAATGAAATACGTAGCAACCACATCAGGGATACAAAATGTTTAAATAAACTACTCGAAACTAAATTATTTAAATTATTATTGGATAATAATACATATCCTCATTATATAAGTATTTGATGCTAAGCTAAGTTAACAACAGTCTTCTTAATATCTCCTTAATCAAACTCTGAGGAAACAAGGAAAGCAAAAGTATAGATTTTTCAAACGTACGTGTAGTAACTGTTACTTTTGGGCAACTTGTTATCAGCTGTTTAGAAGCGATGCTCCGACCAGCTTCACACTGACAACATTTGTTGCTTTTTAGATAAAATGCTAAATTGCTAGCCATGCTAGGCTCCTTTGGAACAAAGAGAAGCTAAACATCGCACTGGACAACAGGTGCACAATGTGCTGTAACTTCTTCTGACTCACAGGAGAGTTCCCGACAATTTGATTTTCCTCTCATGCAATAATTGTATAAATATATATTATAAAATACATAAAAACACAAAAAGCCCTCACCTCCCCGACCATGCCGTTCCACTCTCCATCGATGTTCTTTCCGTGCCTCCCGTTCGTCACCAGGTAAAGGTCGTAGGTGAAGCCCACGATCTTTGCCAGTCGCTTGAGGACGTCGATGCAGAAGCCTTTGCAGCAGTGCTTCATGGGCCCGGTTCCGTCCACCACCAGGCTGAAGAGGCATCACAACTCATGACACACTGGTGCTAATAAAGCTTTATTCCTGATGATGTACAAATCAATTAAAGTGGTGTTTAGCGCCACAAAAAGCTTCCTCAGATTTAAGTATTATTGTTATTAATATTATTACACTCATAGGTAGACTGAGGGAAGTTGGGTAGAGATTATTGAAAGGACTGTGATTGGATTCGGACTGAAAGTTCGGTATTAAACTTAATTCATCTCCATTTTGTGGTCTCATGGATTAGAAATATAAATCTACAAATATCACCGGAGGCCTTTTTCCTGTGAGACTCCACATATGAATGAAGTGCGTTCCAATCTCCATCGCTCAAGTAGCCGCTTCGCCCTGCACAGCTGTGCACATCCAGTGACCATGTGATGGACCTTGAGACATTTGTGGCAGCTATGGCAACCCCGACAGGCCTGTTGCCTAGCAACACAACTTGCACTACTGTGTTTTACTCAAAGCCAAAGTACAGTTATCTCCTCTTTATTTCTGTATGTTTGGGACAATTTCTCCTACAAATGAAGTCTGTTCTGAACTTGGCAGATTAAAAAGGTCATTATGATGAATTATGCAACACATTTAGGATTAATCTGCAAAGTGGTTCTAAATATATTGAGTAAAACATAAACAAACTAAACAAGACCTTGGTGGTGAGGACGGCTGAAAACAAATTCATAAAACATCTCAGCTTCCAAAGACAAATGAATTACTTCCACGTAAAGTATGTGGACGTAAAAGAGACTCAATACAAAAGCAACGGACAGGAGGAAGAAAAACAGCCAGTAAAAGTGAGTGATGACTGTTTA